TGACGGTAAGACAAAAGCATTGTGCGAGTCGTTTGCCGCGACCCTATTTTTCTTGTCTCTTTATTCTGATTATACGTGATTATACGTGACAGTGAAATACGTGGATTAAATGTGCTAAGTCCAAATTGTGTGGGACGACATGGACAAACTTCAAGACAAAGCTATAGGATTTTAGTTCGATCGAGACAGTGGCGCCGACTTGGAATTTCAGGGTTTTGACTTTTACGAAGATAGCAATGAACATACAAATAGAGGTCTTAGAAGTTTTTTTTCTAACAACTATGAACTATGGGCGGCGTGTTTGTCGACGGGATATTCTAATTCAAATGAATCTTCACTGTCGATTTTTATTATTTCTGCTTTTAATTTTTGTCACATTCTAAGCAATAAATTATTTCTTGTTACACTTCTAATGCTGCATATTGTTCATTTATTGTTGTTGCATGTTTTTATTTGCCGTTTTTCTCCCTGTCGCAGTTCGATCTGCGTGTTGCCAATTTTCACGATTTTTCGTTTTTTTTGCCGGGGATATCCGGACAAACGCCCACCCCTTCTTTTTGGCGATTTTCCATGTTCAGGACCCTGGGCTTATACCCGGATAAATACGGTATATAAGTAACTAGTAAACATGCAGGCAAGCAGTTGAGAAGCTTGTAATTAGAATTAATGGCACTTGTATAGGCAGATAAGTAGGGAGGTAGGTAACTTGAATATGTTTAATAACATGTTAAATAGACCGATATATGTATATTTATGTACTCAGGATTATGATACTGATGTGCTGATGTCAGCTGGGGAGAATGAGGAAGATGATCAGGTGAGAATGGGATTATACTCTGAACCTTTAATATATGTGCTCATGAAATTTTACCCAGTGTACTTTATTTCATTCCTTATATCTTACAGATTATCATGGAACAGGTTTGAAATTTCTATTTTAGCTCACCCTTTCGTTGATTAACTTGTATTGACATTTGTGATATATTTCCTGGTAGGACTTGTTGGATGATTGTGTGCATAATTTTGGATAAGTTTTGCAATCTGTTCATAATTCAAATTTCAGGTACATGTGCTTACTGGTGGTCCAAAACATATCAAGTGTGATGAAGATAGTGACTTTCTTGCTGCTTTTGACCAGATGATGGCAGAAAACTTACAGGTAATTTACCATTCATGCTGTTTTTCTTTCATTGAAGCAATAAATTGGTTGATCTCTGTGCAAAAATAAATTGTATTTGTAAATATCATTCATTCATTCATTCTTTCAAATTTAATCTTGACCATGATGCATGTCTGAATTGTAAATTAAATTTTGCAATGGAAACCATAAAAAAATAATGGTTACATAGTGTGAGTGATTGGAAAAGGAATTCATTCTTCATTATTACAATACAGAAGTTGGTCATTAATAAATTCATATCCACTTTTACACCAAACTGTAAAAAAAGGCTTACAGTTGCCTTGATGCCCTACCAATTTGTCTTGATGCCTATTGAATAATACAGATAGTCTTGTATGCAATGGCAAAACTAATCATATTTGTCAACTAGGTCTCTCACCTCTAAAGTTTGAGCCATATGCAAGTTGGCTACATGTTATGTTATGATTTTATCTGTTCTCTTATCAGCATCGCAATAATGAACTTATCAAAGTCCCTCAGTTGGATGTATCTGTGCCTGTTAACTTGAAAACTAAGTTGAAAGTTGGTGATCCACTTAAAAGGGAAGAAGTAGAGAAAATGCATGTGGACTTTGTGATGATTACTCGTAAAGGAAACAAGCAACAGTTGAGAACTGTTCAAGTTCCTGCTAACTCTCACTTTGTGTCATCTGTCAAGACCAGAGAAGAGGTATGTACATCTTGTAATAATCTTCCACAAGTAGATTCAGTGAGTAAATAAAACAACATTTAAAAGGCAAAGATTTCTGAGTCGTCATCAATCGGTAGACATTTGCAGAAATACTAGTAGGAGCTTAGGAAAAGAAGCCTACTTTCAATACTAGAACATTTGTCATTTGCAACTTTTGTTAGTTCCCGTTCAGGCTTTGCCTGAAAGGGGAGTACTAGTTTTACTTTCTTTCTCATTTTCAAGTTGCTGCAAGTTATCTCTCACATTTTCTCAGAGACTCTGCGGCATATGTCAATTAAACTTGGCAGGTTGATGAACAAATCTGTGTTATATATGCACGTAATTTTTTTTTCCAGATCTGAAAATTCGAAGAGGGTCTTTTTCGAGATTTTTATCCAAAATTACCTCTCTCTACTACACTGACAGAGCAACTGAGCATGCTCATAATAATTGATTCTTTTAAAAAAGATTCAGATTCATGAATTCCTGATATCTGATTCACAAGTTTTACCAAATGTATTCGATCGGTAGTGTATACTTTTCAGACCTCAGAACCAATTTCTCAGAACCCAATTTCAAAATAGCTTCCTTATCATCGGAAGTCATCTTTTAGGTTATTATTTATATGACCACACCCTATCCAAAAAATATGCAAATTAGCTAAATTCAGTTATTTCCTTTGATCTCAGCAACCATTGATCCGATTTTGTTCATATTTGGTAGGATTGCACTTTGGATATACTTCTGACAGTAATGACCACCCCTCCAGAAAATATGCAAATTAGATCAATGCAGTTATTTGCTATCTCTACCACCACCATGTCGATTTTATTCATATTTGGTAAATGATTACACCTTGGCACGAGTTTATTTATTTAACACTTTATTTAAAGAGGGT